TAGTTTTGATCTAACCATTCCTTATTTTCCTCATGTCTCAGTTAGTCTTTGTCCAATTCGAAATTCTCTATAAATACCGAAATCTCCTAAAATCCTCTTTATCCAAAACCCTTGCCTACACTATTTCCCTTCTTCTTCTAGCTTGTTTGGTTGTTGCTCCAAACAAGCCAAGCCAAAATTTGGCCACAGCCAAATCAAGCTATAGCCAAAATTTGGTTGCAACCAAATCAAGCTATAGCCAAAATTTAGCAGAGCTGCGAAAAAGAGCCTATGGTCTGGTGGTAGGGCTGTCTAGTGACGTTATCCACCTGGTGGGCGATCTGCACTATCGGATCTCCAGGTCAGGGACGGTGGATGGCTGCGGTCGTCCTCCTGAGGATGTGTGTATAAAAAAGGTTGTAGAAAAGTATTTTATTTTATTATTACTATATATACATAGGAGTATATATTTTCTCGTGAAAAAGATGTATTTTTTATCTAAAGGGTCAGTGATTTCGCTTCTAGTTTTTCTTTGATAATATGTTGTAAAAGGTAGGATGTGCATTATTTATAGAGATGATAAGTGTGATTTATTACTGTATTAAAATAAAGATATTTTTATCATGGTACAACTAGTTGTTCAAATATTTTGTATAATTCGGAACATAAATCAGATCTTTAAACCAACAAGCTGTTGGTTCATTTTTAATGAGAAATTTAAAAATCACTTTTATTTGTTACTGTTATTCTAAAATCTTTAAATGAGTCTATTATTTCAAAAAAAACCCTAACAAGTTTGTATTAAAATACAACAGCCATTGGTGACTGGGAGGCAAGAGGGAATATTTCAAGAAAGAGTCTCTATAGTCAATCAAATGTTGGATAAACACTAGTCTTACACAATAATTTTTCAGCAATGGTAAAAATAGATTTTCAGCAGAGGATGTACATACAGCAAGTGTCTCTAAAAGTTGAGTATTTTTTAACACGGGTTTATAACTGCCTATAGAAATTGATTCATAATCTTAGAAATTGATTTTTAGTGGCGGTCCACAATGTGGCCTGCTCCTAAAAATAAAGTATAGAAAACAAGAAAGAAAACCAACTCCTTTTACTAGTAGAATAGAGGCAGCGTGCGGCCGGCCGGCAGGGAGGAAAGTGCATGTCTATGTATCCCTTGCCTATACTGAATTATTGGCAAGCGGACACATCTCTGGCCACTACTAGTACTGTAGGGTCTATTTGGTTGTCTTAAAGCTAGCACGGCTTACATTTTAAGCCAGGACAACTTAAGACAAGCTCCAGCAATATAACCTTAGGTTGTTTGGTTAGTATTAGCTATGATAATAGAATCACCTTGCATAAGAATGGAGGTGGACTTACCACCATCCACCAGCAGCAGCACCATGTTCGGCGAGTAACGAATCCACATAATCCCCATCGCGGCCACGCCAGTCGCCTCCGATGGCCGTCCGGCGTAGGCCTCACATCATCAAGCTTCACGATTCCAGCCCACCCCTCCTCGGGCGGGCGCCGGGGGCCACGCCGGCCACCGTCCCTGCGCCCTCGCGCGACGAGGGCCTCCTCGCGAAGCACCCGCGTGCCGCCCCCTCGAGCGCCTCCGCTGCGCACCCTGCCTTCGCCCTCATCGTTGGTCCGGGCTGTTTCCGTCGCCGCCTCCAGGGCGCGCGCCGAGCGAGAGGGTGAGGTGCGCGTCCTTGCCGATCAGGCGGCGCACATCTACCGGCTCCAGGTGTGCGCCCTCGTCAACCAGCTCTAGGGCCTACGGGAGAAGCTCGCACACAAGTGCGGCGGAGGCAGGGTCCGCGGGAACCGGCGGAGGCGGGGCCGGCAGGATCCAGCAAAGGCGGGGCCGGCGGGATGCGGCGATGGCGTGGGCCCAGCCGAATTCGATGGAGGCGTGGGGAGACGTGAGCAGGGACAGCGGCGCAGCACGAGAGCGAGGAGGGAGGAGAGCGGAGGAAGGGAGTCGCCGGCATAGGGGCAGGTGCAGGGACAACCGCGCAGCACGAGACCGAGGAGGGAGGTGAGCGGAGGACGGGATGCGCTAACCAAGGTGGCTAGTGGGAAACGACTTGGCGATCCGTTTCCAGGAAGCCTGACTAAGGGGTCCTCCTTGACTTAGCTAAGCCTGGCCATGTGCCCAAACCAGATAACCAAACATCTTGCAGCTGGCCTACTAGAACCTGGCTAGAGGTTAGCCGAGTAACCAAACAGCCCCATACTGTCTCCGGTCAGTTCAAGTCATCACAAGAGAGGAAAGAGATAAGGCCAACTAATGACAGAGAAGATATCTTTATTTGGTTCAGTCCGATCGATATCGTCTTCATCATCATCGGTGCCCGGATGCATGACATATATGTTTCTCAGTCACATGCATGCATGTTTATAAATTATTTGATGTATAACATTTCCTTTATTATGTCTCAATTGTTTCCTACAGCTACATCTACATGTGGGTTGCATTGCATTGCTTGCCACGATTACTAGTACTAGGTGTACATGGTAGAAAAGACCCAACTAGACAAAGGAACGAAGCAATAATACACGCACGCACGCACTATGCCAATAGGAGACTAGGTAGAACCAGAGCTTTGGTGCATTGCTTTGGTGACGCTGATGCATGACTACATATGCATGCATGGTTTCCATTTCCAAGTTATGGTATTATGGTACCTAATAAACTTTATGCAACCATATGAATTATGCAACTAGAAACGTATAGTTGAATCACGCTAGCTAATTAATGACCTAATTTGTTTATTACGCAGGTTAAGCAGCAACTGGTACGTCGTCTAGAGTGGCACAGCAAGAAGACGGCGTGCTTTGCATGAGCATGACGTAGACTTGATGCAGACATACAACGGATGAAAAAGCATTGCGTCGTGGGCCATGAATGCTTGGATCGTTCGAGCAAACTTAAGCCATATATCTAGCTAGATCCCTTCCAGTTCCAGGTAATAACTATTTAGCTGCTAAGATCTGTTTTAAAATTCACACATCTAATATATATATATATATATAGCTAATGTGTCTTACCAACAAACTAATATGCATGGCTAAGTTTTAGCTAGGTGTAGCTTCCTGCACGCATAAGCATTTAAATTTCATGGTATGTTGGAAAATGGAAACTTAGCATCGTCCAGTTTCACTGGTGAATATCAAGATCGACTGTTGACAAATGAGAAATGACAGAACGAGCAGAGGGACGATCGAGGAAGGGATTGCCGGCCTCATCCTCGCTATCTTTTCTCAGTCATGAACTTGTAGGACATGACAGGTAGGCGCGCTTTGCTAGCTGCGCCCACACTTCGTATCGGCGCAATACACTCCTAATGACCACGGTAATGCCTTACTCTCAGGTCTGATTGACCCGCACCCATAGAACAAAGTCAGGAACAAAGTATAACGGGTAAAACATGTAACTGAAGATATTACTGGTTCGTAATTAAATATATTGTGTAACTAAGGGACTGTTTGCGGTTCAGAGCTGGTCAGGCGTTGGATTTTGGACGGCTGGAGCCAGATGTGCTGCCTGGCCTGCTGGCCCATCCGAGTTCATATGAAAAAGTTATAAATGATTCTTGGATGCAACTATTTATAGAAACGGGCATGTTTAGATACCCGCCTCCAAAAATTGATTTTTAGCAACACACGCTTAGAATGCCCGCCTCTAGTCATTTTCAGAGATAGGCATCTTAAGGTCTCCGCCTCTAAAAATCGATCTATGTAGTCATGCGTCCTGAGGCGGTCGCCATAGGACGCCGACCTTTGTAAATGATTTTCGAAGGCGAGCATTTTCCTAGATACCGCTAGACCATTTACGAATGCGGACATTGGAGAACCTGCGTTTCAAAATCATTTCTCTGGTAGTGATAGAGGCGCGGAAAGAGTGGGGGTGCACCTCAACCACGACGATGGCACTATTTCATTTTCACTTTTTGAGAAACCAAATATTGTTAACTTTGACCAAATATATAATAGAGATTATTAATATTTATGGCTCATAATAGTATCATTAAATTAATCTTTAAATATATTTTTATAATAAACTTATTTGGAAATAAAATATTGCTAATATTTTCTACAAAAGCTGATAAATTTTTTTTAAAAAAATTGACTCAAGCTTGCCAAAGAAAATGTACCACTCCATCGAGAAAGCAAATGATACAAGTGATATTTGAAGTACATTTTCTTCAAAGATAAATGCTAATTACATTTTCCAACTGCCGAGACTATTAATTTCAATTAGTTCCCATTATACCATCGAAAACTCTCAATAGATTCTTGTCTCTACAAAGTACGAATACATTAATTGACACTCAAGATAGGAGAGGTTTATCCTTATTTAGGCTTCGGAGACTTATGTTCAGCAATCGAGTTCGTCGTATCAGAGTGCTCAAGCGAAATTAAGCGCGTGTTTATTTTCAGAAGGTTGGAATTTGGGATCACTGTAACACTTTTGTTTTTATTTGGCAATTAATGTTCACACATGGACTAATTAGGCTCAAAACGTTCGTCTCGCAATTTCCCACCAAACTATGTAATTAGTTTTTTTTATCTATATTTAATGCTCCATACACGGATCGCAAATATTCGATGTGATGGATACTGTAACACTTTTTAGGATTTTGGGTGTAACTAAACACACAGACTAAATAAATAATGGCGCCGCCGGTGCGCGCATGTGCAGGAGGAGAGGTCCCGGTCATAGGTCGCAGTCACACATGGTGATGGATACCAGACCGCACGTGGAAGGCGGCAGCCAACGACGTCACATACACCCCGGCCCCGGCCTCCGTAAATACGCGCCACGCCGAGCTCTCGTTAATCGCTTCGCGTCCACCATCGATCGATCGATCACCTCCAAGGATTTAGCTGCTCTGCTCTGCTCTGCTCACCAAGCGCTGCAGCAGCGCAGAACGAGAGGCGAGCGCGACAGCTCGATCCAGTCACCACCACGGCGGCGGCGGAGGAGCCAGGTAGCTACAAGCGCGGGGATGGGTCACCACCACGGCGGCGGCGTAGGCTGCTGCTGCTGCGAGCTCTGCGGCGCGCCCGCGGCCGTGCACTGCGTGGCGGACGCGGCCTTCCTCTGCGCCGCCTGCGACGCCAAGGTGCACGCCGCCAACTCCATCGTGTCGCAGCACCGCCGCACGCGCCTCCTTCTCGCGGCCGTGGGATCACCGGCGCCGGCGCCGGACGAGGACGGGTACGAGTCCGCAGCGAGCTCCTGCGTGTCCACGACCGACTCGGCCGGGAGAGGGAGCCCGAGCCCGGGCGCGCGCGCCGAGGAGGTGCTCGAGGGGTGGGCCAAGCGGACGGGCCTCGTGTCGGGGTCGGCGGCACGCCCGTGCGCCGCGGCGGCCGCGCGGGCGCTCCGGGCCTGCGCCCACGACCTCGCCTCCGCTCGTGTCCCGCCGCGCGTCGCCATGGCCGCCGCGCTGTGGCGGGAGGTGGCGGGGCGCGGTGGGATCGGCGGCGGGGGCGGGGGTGGGGGCGGCCACGGCGAGGCGCTGCGGCGCCTGGAGGCGTGCGCGCACGTGCCGGCGAGGCATGTGGTGGCGGTCGGCACGTCCCTGGCGCGCGCCCGCGCACGCAGGCGGAGGTGGGCCGCCACGGACGCCGTGGAGGGTTGGGATGAGTGCGCGTGGGCCGGACCCAAGTCGAGCCCGGCATGTTCTTGATCTCGTTGTGCTTGCTGAGGAACAGACGACTTGCCATTTGTGGACCTTGTTTGTTCGATTTCGTTGGCCCAAGTTCCAAGCAAACTCAAAAAACTTGTTATTATTTGCTTAAAAAAATAGCAAGCGAGGCACCAATGGTGATGCTGTGCATCTCAACATTCTTCGAAGGTCTTCGTGGAGGTCTTCGCAGAATAGAGTGTGCTGTGCTGGCATGTATATATATTTATTTAAAGAGATGAACGCATGCATGCACCGTAAAACATAATTGTATTATTTCGCAAAAAGAGAGAATTGTATAGGTATCTCTTATTAAGAAGATCTTATAGGCTGCCGAGTGCTAAGGGTAAAGGTTATGTGCATATGTGGAGTGCATTTAATTTTAGTGGACGGAGGTGTGATTTAAATAATTCCTTATGCCTTAGACCAAATTCTTTTTTTTTTCTAAAAAATGCATATGAATCCCCTCCTTTAGACACGAAGAAAGCATAGGGTTGTGCTTGGCACAACATATTCCTCTTTGACTTTCATTCATCGAGCTATAAGGCTGTTCACAATCTGACAACCATTTGTCTTGTATCACAATTTGAAAAGACACAGCTAATAGGTAGCCAATTAATAGTTACAAACTATTAACTAGCTAATATTATCTAGAAAAAAAAGTACATCGACAAATCAGGAATGTATTATAATTTGAAATAGAGGGAGTAGCTGCCAGTGGATTAGGAGTGAAAACAACCGAAAACGGTCAGTGTATAGATTAGGGATGAAAACGACCAGGAACAGCCGAGGTGTGTGGATTAGGGATGAAAGCTACCGACTGAGTCAGGGTGTGTGGATTAGGGATGAAAACGACCCGAAACAGTCGGGACATACACACCGTTATGCAACTAGCGCAAGGCTTTGCACTGGCCAGATGCGACGTAGCCTTTTTTGCATGGTGTTAGCGGTACTATGCATGATGGTATCATCAAGTGGGTGAAAATGAAATAGTTAGGTGTCATGTCGATCGTCTTCCCACCCCGCCCACGCCCCACAAGTGGCGCGGCCGCGCAGCAGAAATGCCACCGTATCTGAAGCAGAACTGCTTTCCAATTTCAAGAACTCGAGAAGTTTGATGCTCAAAAACTGTCCGTGAACCTAGCCCATGCATGTTATTATTCATTCACAAGTTCAAATGTATGTCCGTCTGTATGTACAGCACAGTTCATGGACTCTCGGACACCACGCCAGTTTACAAGCCTCCCAACGTCCTCGGCTTTAGCCCTTGGAAGGCACTGCAGACGCTTTGCATATTGGACACCAGTTCTTCTGCCTAAGCCACTGGCCTATGCAGCACACATGGAACCGGTGCTCGCACGGCAGCCTCCCAACTTCTTCGCCCTCCATGTACTCTTCCTGGAATAGACACAGATGTCCAAATTTCAATCCATAACAGAATATTTCTGCACCAGTTTCTTTGGTTATGAACATGTGAGGACTGAAAAAAGTTAAACCCTAAAAAATATCAGTGATGAGAGCAATAAGCTTTAATTCTTCAAAAAAGAAAAGAGCAATAAGCTTTCTGCATTAACTAAAAGGCAGAGCTCCTGCCACTTACGTCCAAAAAAATGAGAGCAATAAGCAGTACACTGCAAAATCAAGCATAAATAACATTTGCAGAAAGGGTGCTGAATTGGCTCGACAACTTCAAGCCTAGTCTGACGCCTACCACTGATATTGGAGAAATATAACCTCTGTAATAAGTAATACGTAACAGCTTATAGAACACCGGCTTGTATGGTTCATCGCCTTTGAACCTTGCAAATGCTTGTGGAAATCCTGGGTGTTGTCAGAATGTAAAGTATTTTTATGGCTGGCCATTCAGAACAAATGTTGGGCAGCCGATCAACTAGCAAGAGGTCTAGCGCACTCCAGCAATGTGTGCCATGTGATTAGGAGGAATTTGCCCAACGTATTCTCTCCACTTGTGTGTTTGCTCATCAATTTCTGGTATAATTTGCGCAACATATCCTATAGTCCAGGTTGGAGGTCGTTTTTTTTTCTGTTTCAGGCTTTTTTGACTCGTGATGTACAGCAACCCATCCTTGTCTGATAGTCAAAGTTGAGATGAGGAGGTTGTAAGGGACTGTTATTTCTTTTATAATATAAATAAAAATGCAAAGCTCTCCTGCGTGATCGAGACAAAAAAAATCTTGTTTTGCACTAGTATTTGCTTTCAAGAAAGGCAGACTCAGACGTTAAAAAAACACTGCCAGGAATCCAGTACATTTTTATTTTCATAAGACTTTTCGGTAGTGGGGTAATAGCAGCATAAAAGGGCCTGTCTTCTGTGAGAAGGGTAGACAAGACCTGTACTACTCAATGCCGACTGTCCAAAACAAAAGGTCAAAACTCAAAACCTTTGCCTCGGTTTTTCCTTCCCAGACCCCACTCATGTGGGAGCCTCCGGCACTGGGTCTGCCCTTTTTTAGTGCCCAAAATAACCAGTTCCACATGAAGAGAAAGTGCTCAATGTTGAATCTTTATATGCATATGTTTATACCCACAGAAATAGTAGATCCCCTAGGTAAGGTTACCACATACCTGGCATATACTGCATTTCATGTCATCAACGGTTGATTTGTTCACATCTGAAGCGACTTGACTATATATGCTTCTTCTGAGGCATTTTGTAAACTGTGCTTCTGAAAGAGCTGTGCTTACAGAGCCTATTCTCTCCTCCAGGGCCAATAATTCCTGTTCAGAAGGAGATACAAGCACCTCTTGTGTGAGTATAAATATGAACCATGAGTATTTCATAAAGGATCATAGTTAGTACTCAAATCATAGCAAGGGCTTCAAAGACAGAATAAGGAAGAATCCAGAAAGAAAAGCATCCTCTAACAAAACCCCTCCAGCATTCAGGTAGAATAAGACATGATAAAAGATAGTACCTCATAGGACATATTATCAATATCCATCTGCATGTCTCTATGCCGATCATAGGAGGCAACAGCACCTAAAAAATAGATTCATGTCCAGCACCAGCAATTGCTGCAAAAATAAGTTTATTCAAGATTTCAGGCAAAAGAAAGATGATAACAACTTGTGGGCAAAGAATAAAAACGAACTAACATCATAAGTCAGCTCTGCTTGTTCAATCCTCTCCAATGCTACCAAAACCTACAGAAAATAAACCTATTTCATTCCAAAATATTACACTTATACCACCTTCTTAGTCAAAGTTAAGGATATTTATCAAAATAAGATCAGTATCACTATATATTTAACTGGATTGTAATGACATAAGATCTAACAACAAAAACAGAACAGCTGGAACCACTATAGGAAACATTTTAGAAACAACCTCTGTAATTCCTTCCATGGTTATGTGTCTATGATTATCTCTCTCCCCCATGAGACTATGGAACATTTGTCGAGGACTTTCTTCAAAAAGGGAGCTTGGTCTTCCCCTTTCAGCTCGAGTATTCGAGCAACGACGACGACTAGATGAAAAATGTTATCAAATTCCACAAAGAATGGCCTTATTGAACTCTCAGAGGAGACTTCTTCCAATGAAAGATGTTCCTGAGCTGGCTGTACATTCCTTGTGGATGACTCATGCAGAGAAAGTATGCCATCTTCTCTTTCATCAGGAACACTCATCCTAGTGGCATGAGGAGAAGGTCGTCTCGTCCTAACTGAAACTGCCGTTTCCTTATGGTTTCTGCTGCTTCTTCGTGGTATTTGTTGAGAAAGTGATTGTTCATTCATTCTGATTCTGTGACCAGTACTACGAATATCTGTAGGAGGGGAATGACCTAAACTTAAGTTCCTTGATCTGGAAGAGCTTTCCTCATCAAATGCCCTCTTTCTCATGAACTCAAACCTCCTACTAATAACAGACTCAGATGGGCAACCTGATGGCTGAGCATCAGGTACTGAAGTACAACCAAGGTTTTTAAGACCACGTATCTGCCCTCCACTAACATGACCATAAGCTGGCCTCAGACCCATGGTAGAACTTCTGGGTATAGTAGACCCATTAGTCAGAGATGAAGAAGATGCTCCTGGAGTACCCATATTTACTTCTTTGTGTTTCTGTGTCTGTGTCCTAGAACTTAGTGAGGCAGTTTGGACCAAGGACTTGACTGTATGTGCAGAAACACCTGAATGACTGGTAAAATGAGAGCCTTCTGGATAAGGTACTTGTTCAGTAGTAAAACCTTCTGATTCACCTTGCAGAGTGTCTGAACTCTCGTTGTCTATAGCAATTTTCTTACTACCCTCTAGCTGCTTGGTATCAGCCTTTCTTCTACTACTTTCAGCAATGTCAATCCCTGGCACAAAAGGTTGTCTTCGCCTTTCCTCAAACTTGCTAAGTGGAAATTTAGAAGAGCTTGCAGGTGTCACCTTTGAGCCTGAAGATTTAAATGAACCGTGTATATATCTTGGTCTTTCTTGATTATCGCCAATTCTCGCTTTCATAGGATTGAATCTAGTGCTGCTTCCCGGTTTATCGATGTTGTGATTAGTCCTCTCTTCTGAACTTAGATTCCTGGAAGAGAATCTGGAACCCCTCCTGAGATATGCAATTTCTGCTTTTGATCTCCTATCTGAATATTCCTCCATATAATCAGGTTGCAATAAGTACCTCAATAATTTTTCTGAGATATCCTATAGTTCTGCAGATCTGTAAGACATTTTGTAAAGGTCAGTAAACAATAAAACCTGGAAGAGGGATACAAATAACGAATGAGCAAGAAAAATTCAGAAATATACACCTGTACATATTGAGAATGAATATATTTTTTTTACTTGGACAATAAAATGCTTTGGAACTAAGATTACTGTCCATCAGCAGAATCATAATAACAAATTTGAGACACTGTGAATATGAATTTATGAAAACCAGTTATGACCAAGGGTCTCTTTGTATTGGGGGTATATCATTGGTATGGATATTGTTGCACTATAAACTTACCAAATGGAACCTCATCCTAACACCCTCGGAAATGCAGAGTGAAAAATGTTTTCAAGTTCAGCAGGCATCCTTCACAGTTCATCTAACCATAATGAACTTCTTAACATTAGATACAAAACATAAACATCTGAAAAATGATGTGCTCAAATGATCAATATGAGCAACAAACAAACAAAGAGTCAAATTGGCCCTTAGCATTTGGCAACCAACTATATACGAAAACAGTTTTGTCCTAGCATACTGGTCATAGCGATGACCATAATCGCTTTTGAGACCCAAGTCTGAGCTCTATTGCCCTAGCTCCAAAGCCGGTACCAAAAGCAGCCAGGTCCGAGGTGGAGAGGGTACCACTACCAACTCACCTTCCGCATCAACATCAGACAGGACCCCACATCATCATCATCAGTAACCAAATGAGCGAGAATTTGAGACACGCATGTCAGCACGGAACCAGGAAAGGTAGACACAACGACATTTTGAAGGTTATAGATAGATAACCTTAATGCGGCAAACAACATTTTCCAGATAAGCCAAAGAAAAGGGGCATCGGGACCACCCTCCACCAGATCATGACATGATCATTGACATTGAGAAGGGAGTGCGATGACATATCATTCGTCTATCCACATACTAGTACCACTTTTCATCAAATAATACTTACGTAGTATTTTTCATTTTTTGCCCCTCTGAAACTGAAACCCAAGACAGAAAGTGCCAATGTCAGTAGTAACTAGTTGCCCGGCTTAACAGATTGCCCACTTACTGAGTAACAGCGAGTACCAAACCTCTCACGGAAAATTTGCTAATGAAAACCGTATCGCCATCAAGCCGTTCAGGCCCAGTATATGAATCCCTTTCATGCAATGCAACTACCGTGTTAATTGCTTCTAAATCATTTGAACAAAACTAGCCCCAACACTTTTTTTCATCTCTCTAATACAATGAAACGCAGCTCTCCTGCATTAAAAAAAAAAACTAGTCCCAATCCCCAAAACTAATGAACTGATCGTTCTGAAACCGATCAACAAATCCCAAGCAAACTCTCCCATTCGAATCGAACAACAGAACGAAACATCACCTCCTGATCCTGCGGCCTACTAGTACTAGAAGAAGCCGCGGCCGTCGCTCGAGAACACCAGCATCGGGAAGGGCGGGGGTGTGCGTCTTGGGATTCGGAAGGAACAGCGGCGTGCCCCGGCCGCGGCGTCGTATCGGATGGCCTGCCGTCGCCGGGAGGAGGAGGAGGAGACGCCGAGGCAGCAGAAGGCGAGAGAAGGGAAGGAAGCAGCGAGCGGAGGGGAGTGGCTTGGATTCCTCCCTGGTTGGATCCGAGGCCATTTATCAAGGGCCAGGGGAAGGGTCGCCCCGTTAACGGGTCGGGTGTGCTGCCTACCAGTTGTCGCTTTGCGTTGGTATTTGGAGGACTGGTGCTACGTCCACGTCGACGTCCGCGCACGGAAGGGGTACACGGAAACGTACACACACTACGGCGGCAGCGCGGTGCACGGGGAGTGGGCCCCGTTGGACAGTGTGGCGGTGTGGGTGGACGTCCTGGCTGGGCATGATAAATGAGCTCGAGTGTGCGTGCACGTGACAAACACGTACAATATACGTTTTTTTTCAGACACCGTGCGACGCGGAATGTACCGTCACGTGGCAGGCCGCGTTTGCTACGGAATGAGGTTCTCGTGCAACTGTTTTAGGTCCAGATTTTTACAAAATAGAATCGGCGTCGTTTGGTCCGAAATTGGATTCTATTTTCTCCGTATCACGCTTTAACCGTTAATTTCCCTTGTAATTTATAATAATTTATGACAATAAAAGTATATTAGAAAGTATTTGTAAACACAAATCTAATGTTACGGCTTTTATACTATATAAATAAACTTTGTACTTATATGATTAGAGTAATTGTTGATTAAACATAACAAAGTTTGAATTTAGACATGCATGGCTTATATTTGGAAATGAATGGAGTAATTCGCAAGAAATATATGTTTTCTTAAAAATCATGTTACTAGAAAAGACTTAAAAAATTCTATTTGTTACTCACATTTCGAGGAGTCAAATAGTTTAAATTTTGATTAAAATTATATGAAAAGGTACTAACATTCATAAGATAAAATAAGTATCATTAGATTAGTTATAAAATATATTTTCATAATAAATTTATTTGAAAACATAAATGCAAATATTATTTACTATAAATTTGGTCAAAGTTAAACTAGTTTGACCGACACGTTTCCCATAATTATATTCTTTTGTGGGCGGAGGAAGTAACAAAGAACAACTTTAATATAACACACATCTTAACTTGTATTAAAAAGAATTATAATTGAAAAAAGAGAGAATTACACTTGCGGTCCCTGAACTATCCCCACGGTTTTATCTAGGTCCCCTGGCTCTGAAAGTGCACGTCTGGCTCCCTGAACTTTCTAAGCTATCTCATCCCGGTCCAAATCTTGCACGAGACGCCACTCCATCCTACATGGCATGCCACGGTGGCAGCGACTGCACGGCCCACACCTCATCTTTTGCAAAGAAGTCCCTAGGATCCTCCCAATCCTCATTTCCTCGTCCTTCTCTTCTCCCCGTTTCGCTCTCACCAAGGCGGAAGAAGGGGCAGCGCGGAAGGTGATAGGCACCATTCGTCGGTGAAAGGTGACGTCAGAAGAAGGTACCTGCACGGAGGACCAGGGGTTCGACGGCTTCGCTACCGTTAGTCCTTGGAGTTAGCCACCATAGGACATGGCACCCAGCCTGCAGAGCAAAGATACAGGAGGCGCCTTCATATGGTAAGTGTTGTCTTTGATTTATCTTCGATTTGGCTTCGATTTGTTCACCATGTAGTGTAGGGAAGTGTAACACCCCTAGTGTTATGAGTTTGCTTAGCACCGAGATTTAGGTCCGAGAGGAATTAGCCAAACAAGTTTTCGGGTTTTTAAAAAATTATAATGCGCGTGAAATGATAAGCGAATCCTATGTGACTCACTTTTATGGTTGAGAAAAATCAAAACAAAATAGTGTGAACTAGTGCTCTTGGGAGCTCAAAAATCAAATTTGATGTTAAGATAGACTTTTTTCGTTAAGTCGGCAAACACATGAACTATTGTTTAAAATATAATTTTTGGCGAATTATATTGAGCAAAATAATTAATTAATGCTTAAATATTTTGTTCCTATGTGTTAGTATAAGGTATGGACTATTGCAAGAAATACTTGTTAGTAGTAGTTAATAGGGTTTAGGTCTTTTATAAATTATAACAAAAGAGTTAATGACTACTTAGTCCCAACTGAAAACCTTTAAGTTTTCTAAGTATGGAAGGGTGGTAGACAATGCTATTTTGATGTTTAAGTTCTAACTAAAATACTTAAATACTAGTTTCATATTTTTGTACTGTTGGTTGCTTCTAAGTAAGCACTTGAGCATGGCATAGGTCGAAGTTGTGTTGGATGTCACGTTGCTCTCATAAAAATTGCCCAAACCTCCTTATAATGTGCTGTGAACCATGAATTGGTGCTCGGTTCGTGAACCGACGTTCAACGTGACGATCTTATCTTGGCATCTCTCCATCTTTCTCTTGGGCCATCCTCTGGTCGTAAGCATTGTTTCGCTAGTTAGCTATTAGCACCAGCTATAAGTTAGTGGAATTAGTTGAGTCTTAATCGAGACGCTAAGTAGTTTTTGGCCCGCTTTAAAAATCGTGAAAGTACGTGGTTCGACCGTTCGGGCTCGGGGACGCAGTCACCGCGTCCGGTGTCGCGGCGTCGTGGGCTACCTGCACTACTGCTGGCCGCTGCTACCACACGCTGCACCGTGCATTGGCTAGCGTACCCTATGGCCGTGACCGCTGTCTCGTTGGCCAGCCGTGTGGCGTCGGCTGCCCGCCGGGCCAGGCGTAGCCACAGCCGCTCTCCGCCGTGCGTGGGACGCTGCCGACCATGGCGCTGTCCAAGCGCACATGCAGGGCTACATCTTGTCATCTTATCATTTCAGTTACTGCAACGCTCACCCTTCGCCACTCAACCCACCTACCCTAGCTCTATTTTCGACGCCATGGCGTGACTTGCCACATCGCGAGGTCGCGCTGCCCCGTGCACATGGCCACACAGGCACCCCTGAGGGCTCCACCTGAGCCTTAACCACACGACCTTTGCCCTCGCTCGTGAGGTTGTGTCCTCGTGCTTCCATGCCATGTCGGATCTTGGCCGGGTCACCTCTGCCTGGGCCACTCCATGCGATGTGGCGGTGGCAGTGCGCCGCTCTACTCTCCCCTTCATAATCACCAACTCAAGCCCTCCCAGTCCAATTCCTCGCACAGGTGGGTAGCTTAGCAAGTTAGCTAGGTGTCGCATTCTCATCGAGCCTAGCCGTGGTCTATCAACGGTCAATTTCGGTTTCTCCTCACCACCGGTCATGTGCGCCGCCATGACCAGATGCTTGGGGGTAAGGCCCGTAGGAATGGCAACAGTTCAATTGGTCGTAACCCTAAACTCGCCTTGACTCCCTCTATTCGGTGCTCGCACTATTTTGGCCAGGGAACTCATTGGCGATAGGGTGACGCGTTGGTGTTCGGCTCGAGGCTTCGTCGTCGTGCCTGGGCGCACGTGGCTAGGCCACCTCAGCTCTTCCTTGCCTCAATCGTCA